TTGGATTTTTATAGCGTCTGTGCTATCAGCTTTTAAACCGAAAAGGGCATTATATTCGTTGAGCTGAACATCATTTTAAGACTGCCATGTGAAATGGTTTTTTATACATATTTCACAGCTCCCTAATCTCTGTATCTTTTCCTCTTTATATGTTTGCTGTTCCCGCCGCAATTAATTTTTAACCCTTGGGTAACTTTAATGAGCTTAAACTGACCGCCGTCGTCGGCTCAAAATGAAAACACCACAAGATTCGAATAAAATAAGATACGTAACGTAGGAAAAGACTACAAATTAGTCATTGTGATTAATGAGCCGCCGTTGCTGTCTCTTTCACCCTCAAATCTATCCATCTCTCTCGCTTCTAGACGAGAAACGTGTCCAAGTTGCGCTGATTTATTTCGTGTGAGCTTTTCGAAAATGATTATAGGTGTCTAAGGCAGGGACGGGGATTTAGGGGGGCCAAGGTACGAAGGGGGATGCCTTGTGCAACTCTTGGATTTGCCCCTCTGCAGTTATCTAGATCAGCAGAGCGTTAAAGGGGCTGGATCCCAATGTTGAATGTTGAATGCATGTGTTTGGGTCAAGTTCACCTGTTTTGCGGCTGGCTTTGCGCATTTATGGGTTTATTTGACTATGAAAATCGTACGTTAAGGAAGCTGTTTCTTCAGACAGTTGGCTTTATAGATCTTGGTAAGCTTTTGTAGTAAAATCAACAATAAAATGTTTAATGTTTTACCTCAAAGACCATTATGGTTTAATGAACTCTAATTCTGAGAACCAGCATTTTTTTAAATCAATTTAATTTATGAAAAACGAGTCATGGTTCTATTTGAACTCAATATTGTAATGTTGGTATAGATTAATGTCATACAGGACTTGTATTATTAATCATAGCCACATAAATACTACAAAATATTGCTAAAAATGGGATTGAGTTCATATCTTATTCACAAATAACTGAAAGAACTATGGAAATAAATAATATAAAAGTGATTTATAATACACTTTAATTTTACTCAATAGGAATAAGTTATTTAGAACATGTTTCCTAGTAGTATCTAGCAAAAACTCCCCCCAAAATTTCGAAAATTTGTTGATTTTAATGGGATCTATCTGCCGCATGGCCTTCAAAATATGTACACACCGAGAAAAGCGAGGCCGCTCAGCTGAGAGCGGAAAACCACCCCCAAAAGGGGGTGGCTCTGCGTCTGAACAGCCCCTCATCCACCTTCAAAAATTGTGTTTGGTCTAGGTTAAATCACAGAAATTTCGACACATACGCAGCATCCAGAGGAATTTCGTCAACCCCCGAAAAAGTGTGAATGAAAGTGTGTCATGCGGTTGGAAACCCACCTTTTATAGAGGAATTCCTTCAAAACAGGATTTTTATTCCAGTGTTTCCTGTTTTTTATTCCTTTCACCGGTTCTGTTCTTGAGGAAATCTTTCTCTCACTCGTTTTTATCTCCTTTTATTATATTTTTTTTCTTTTACTTTTTACAGTTATTTTTTGTTTTATTTTTTTTCGATTGCCTTTTACTTTATTTATTTGTCACTTCTTTGTTGTTATGGTTTTTGTTTGCCGTCTCTTTTATTTTTATTTTGCAGACAGGTGCACTAACAAAAACAACACACGTACACACACACGGACAATTTTGCAAGCGTCGCACACAAACACTGACACACACACACACACACAAACACGGGGACTTTGGCTTTGAACTTCTTTTCTTCTTTCTCTCTGCGCCTTTTCCACTTTTACGCTTTATATACTACGGCGAGTATTTATCTAATCTCGGTTTCTGCCTTTAGATAAAGCCCAATTGCCGCGGCACTCGAATATAATTATTAACTATTTGTATTTCTCGCTAATGCTCCATCTCTCTTCCTCTTCCTCGCAAACGCCGCACGCTGCGAACACAAAACACAGGCACAAGCACACGCACACAGACACGGCGAACGGGGAGCACGTATGTACGTCCGAACGTTTCAAATTTTTCGGCTTTTGGGACTCTTTTGAATTTATTTATAATATTATCTTTAGCCCCTTGCCAATCCTTGTTTTTTAATCCAATCAGACCGCCGTTTTTTGCAACTATTTTCCTTTTTGTTTTTCCGTTTTTGTTTTCGGTTCGCCCGCTGCGAACTGACTGCTGCGAAAACCGCCTGTGAAACGCGTTGAAAACGCTCAAGAAAAACAGACCTGGGTATTATTACATTCTAGATTTCTCTGCTGTTGGCGGATGGTCACACAGTCAGCTTTTAACAGAAATGTTAAGATTTAACGTTTTCTAACAGTGGCAGAGCAGCTGCAGAGAAAAATGCCGCTGTTAGAAAACGTTACATCTTAACATTGCTGTTAAAAGTAAGCGTAAGAAATACCACATAAATATACCAAAAATATCCAAGGACTATTGCCAAATTCTCACTACAGTTCCCGCGCTCTGTTAGTTTCCACTCAAAGGTTTTGGCGGGATATGATACCTTATTTCATTAAAAGAACGTAAAGTATTGGCGGAACTTTTAAAATACATGAATTTTAGGTAAACCAATTTGTAATAAAATTTTTTAAGTAGTTCTAATATGTTTTTTGGAGGTTGGACTATGTTGCAGAACCGATAAAAATAAACATCAATAGGTGGCTATCCAAACTGGCAATATATTTTAGAGCAGAAAAGAGCCAACATCCATATAATTACTATTATATCATTGTTCTCTATTATATCAATTTTCTTGGAAATTTCTTGGAAATTGATCAATGATGAGATTTCCATTCAGGCAAGCGCCGTGAAAATTTAAAACGGACTATTGTGGGCCCGCAGTAACGCCATTTAAGTTTTTACCAGAGAGTATTACATTTATATTTTAGAGTATTTATAACACCTTCGTTGCATGCGGTTTCTTGAATATATCCATTTTTTAAGCAAAAATGTCCAATTTTGGGATGTGGATGCGGCTTTTAATGGCGTCTTCTGTAGATAATTAATGTATTTTTTGGTGCAACAGTTGCCAGGTCTTGCCAAGAAGGACAAGCTGGAGGTTGGTCATTGCTTTAAAAATACATAAAACGGGACCAGTGTTCCTGGGATTATTAGGGATCGGAATATTTGGCGGGAAATACTTTATTTTCAAAAACGAAAATAGAGTACTGGCGGCACTTTTGCGATAATTATTATTTTCTGACGGCGGAAGAACACTTAACATTTATATTTTGAGGGATCGATCCCGTTAAGATTCTGGAAGATAAGTACGTTTTGAAAATAGCGCCAACGAGTTAGGGTTGGAGAAACAGCAAAACTATCGATATCGTAACTGTTAATTCAGGTTCGTGTATCCGCTATGACTAAAGGGTGTATTCGCTAACTGTCGCTGTCAGCTCCTAGCGAATTCACACACTTTCGTGACCTCGGCTAATCAAAAACAAAATTTAACAACTGAACCTTTTCATAAAAAATATTTTTGAGGCTTAAATTTTAGCATTCAGATTCTACAACTGCCTATGAAGCCCATTCTTATTTTCTTGTTCTTTAGATCTTTGTGATTTATTTTTCTTGAATCTTTAAGTGATTTGCCGCTCAAAAGAAATTATAGATACCTAAAGTATTTATGCTTTAATACATTTACTACTTGTGTACTTTGCAACAAATAAAAAAAAATCGTTTTTGCGTTAGATTTTAAATTATTAATTGTTGCTTATTTGCTTGATAATGGGACAATGTTTTGTACGGTTGTAATCCCCTTTAAAAAAAATACTTTCGCTTTTAAAATCAGTCATTGGCCTTTAAATTATCTGAGCACCTGAATAATATATATTTTTTTACAAATTTGTTTTCGGGAAAACCAATATAAGGCAAAATTCGATGGTCAAGGAATGTATTCCAAATCAGTTCATAAGCAAGATTCACTTTCTGTCGTTAACTCTCAAGAAATGTTAAGCTCGAAATGTATTATTTGTACTTTAGATCTTAATATTTTTTTTGATGATCAGTGTTATTCATTTTTGTTTTAATACTATTATTTTCTTCTATAGTGTTTATACCTATACTTTTACTATACGTATTTTGTGTGTATTTCGACACAATTTATCAATCAATGGTATTTGCTTGATAAGAGGACTAATAAACTGGTTACGTTTTGTACTGTTTGTACTCTCGCAATATTGTCTAGTCTATCTTGCTTTCAAGATCAGTCATTGCCCTTTGAATCCCCCGAGTGTCTGATTAATATATTTTCGGTAGAACATTTGTAAGACGTTGTTCGCTGGTCTGGGAATTCAAACCGAATCAGTTCATCGGCAGCATTCGCATTCCTTCGCCCTACTTTAATGAAATCTTTAAGATCGAAATTTATTTTTTGTACACCTTCGTTGCCTGCATACTTTTCGGGTCGGCTCTATCCCAGGAAAATATCGAGTCCATTTGTGTTCTGCAGGAAGCGCCATTTCAGAAGCCACTTTTGGATCAAATTCAAGATATTAGTAGCAGATTGGAAACCCTTGCTGTGAAAATAAATGATATTGCCACCAATATAGTGCCTCGTGGACTTTAGAAAATCGGTTCTAGATATTTTTATGTAGATGTTGGTATAAGAAAAAATTGAGATGACGCCGAAGACGCATGCCAGAAAAAGGGGGACACTTGGCAGCCTTCAAAAGCCTACAAGAGTTTAATGCCGGAAAGCCTTAAAAAATAAACTAAAATATTTTTTAAAAATATTGTAATTTTTATTTTTTTAGAGAATTTTGTATAATATATTTTATACACAAAGTTTTAAATCATTGTTTCAAATATCTGTTTATCTTAACGGTAACATTTTAAAAAAGTTAGGCTTATAAGATTACTGAGTATTTCGAATTTTGATACCCAAAATAGTCCAAAGTTTGATGTTGACTGAATTAATTAACACAAAATTAACAAAAATGCATTCAATCAAATGCAAGCACAATGTAGTGAATTAAGCACCTCGCACTATTTTTAATTCTCTGTATATAAGTGCAAGCTAGAACTCTTTGGGCTCATTTCTTAAACAAATTCAGAATGCTCAAGTTTGCGCTGCTATTTTCACTTGTGGCTTCGAAATCGATCGGTTCTCTGAGTGGATTACAATCTGTTTGCCTACTGGAAGACCCGATAAATCAATGTGGGAACTTCTGCATGACATCACTGGCGCCCATGTTGAATCACATTCGTCAGCACCAAGATGCGTGGGCCGCCAATGATATCTTGATAAAGAAAACGGAGGAGAGGCTGGACAGGATTGAAGGCCTGCTGACCGCCTTAAAACACTTGAGGCAGAAAGGCCTAGAGGATACCTGGCCGCAGGATTTCAAGGCCAAACTGGACAGGCTGGAAAGTCAGCAGGGGGATCTGTTGAAGAAGCTGGAAAAATTCGATAGGAAAATCGTGCCACCCAAGTTCGAACTGATCGGTTCAAGGTTCTTCTACATCGAGGGAGAAACTCGAAAGAATTGGCCCGCTGCTGCAAACACCTGTCAACAAATGGGCGCTCAACTGGCAGTTATTCGAAATGAAGAGGAGTTGAAGGCCCTCAAGGCGAAACTACCGAAAGATCGCATCTATTGGTTGGATCTTAATGATCTGGAAACTGAGGGGGAGTTCAAATCTTCAGCCACCGGTAAGCTGGCAACTTTCTTGAAGTGGAGAGCTGGACAACCCAACAATTCCAATGGCAGTCAGCACTGCGTGAACATCTTGGACGGACTTATGTATGATAACAAATGTGATAGCCTGAGCTATTTCATTTGTCAGTCGGACGATGGCAGTTTACTTTAAGACCACATAAGCTCCATCAATAAATATAGTCAACGGAAAGAAATTATTATTACTGCACATGTAGTATCCCATAAATTAAGTACAATGTTTGGGAAAAAGATTCTAAAAAAGGGACAATTTCAGAATACAATTTTATGGAATTTTCATAAAAAATGGGTATCTTTTAAATTCTAAAATTAAAAAAAAACTATATGAAGCAAAGATCAAAGATCTGAGAGCATTTTATATTATTGTAGTCCCCCGGCTGTAATTATCTTATACCGATATGGGCTAAAATCTCTTCCAACTGCACTTTTAGCGAGACATTTTACGGTTTCGTTTTTTAGCTTCTGGTTGAAGCTCCCTGAACTCACTGCTGATAAACCAAAAACGAGTACTAGAGTCTGGGACAACTTTGCTTACGTATTTTGTTTTACAACATGTTTGTGTTTGCCCCAGATATCCCTCACATCCATCTCAGATAGATGCGTGCTATATATATAGAATTATCTGATAATATCTCTATCGTTGACATCTTTTGGTCGCTCTACTAAAAAGATTTCAAAACATAATAAAGTGGCAGAAGGACAAAGTGTCTGGAATAGCAAACAACTGATTGACAACACTTTCGGTTACCCGAATTAGATGTATATTTGTAGTTTTCTACATAGTGCCGAGACAGTTTAAATATTTTACTTTGCACTCACATGACACACGAGATGGCATCACATTATCTTATCTGACAACTAACAAAACAAAGTTATGAACTCCCTTCAGGAAGCGCCGCTAATCAGTTAAGCTCTACATATAAAGGTTTATACCTCTTTTATATGGGGGTTAGGCGGGGTCAGTGGGGCGTAAATAATTCCAGACACGCGAAGAAATGTCGGGGTGAAAATTCGCCAGTTGTCAGGTTATACATAACTGCTAATTTGGCGCCCAAACACGTGCCCTGATCCCAATCAATCAATCGGTATGTACATGTAATTTCCCTATCAGTTAAAGTGTTTTTTTTCAATCCATGTGCAGGTCTTATCGAAAAATATGTTCAGTTTTGGTCAGTTGAGTTCGGTCTTTGCTTCGGTTTGCAACGTTGAAGAAATTTAAAGAAACCTTTACTGAGGAAATGCATAAAACTTTTGCGATCCTAACGCGATTTTCCAGTTCAAATCCCTTCAAAAGTCCAAAGACTGAGATTTTCGAGTGGAGGGGGGATTCTCTCACTGCATTTGAATACGGCTGATACTTAATAAGTTGTGAGATACAGTAAGAAAGTCGAATCATCGAAATTTATAACGTCGGATTTTATGTGAAATCGTTTATTTAAGATCCCATTTCCAACCTCATTTGATTGGTTAAAAAAACATATAATAATCATATCATATATAATCATAATAAAATCATAATTAAGTTTTGATGTAACTTATCAGGTATGACTTTAAATTGGATCTCAACTAAATGATTTCACTTAAAATCCGTCTTCTAATCATGATAATAAAATTATTGAATTAAAAAGAAGATACATTTTTGAGGAATAACCTTTTTAACACCTATAACATACATATAGAATAGATCATATAGATTAAATCTAACTGCATCCAGGTCCAAAAATAGATTTGTGGCTTAAAAAAACAGAATCGTTTAAATATATTTTTTGCTGTTTCTTTTGGATCGCCCTCTCTCTCTGTCTGTATTTGCATTGCCTTTAATCCCCACCGTGTTCATATCACAGGGGGTGTATCTGAGGCCCCGACCACCCCGGTGGGTGAACCTTGGCCTACCAAGTGAGCTTTTTGCTAGATTCCAGATCCCCGGACCTCCGCGACCACCTGACTGTCAGTCACTCTTGCGGAGATCGCGACATTGTCGCACGTCAGCCGTCGCTCAGGTTCCGTGGGCTTTTTATCTCCATTCAAGAAACACGGGAGACATTATCTCTCGGCGATCTTGTCGCATCAACAAAACACCAACAAGAAGAGCTCAAGATCTGTCACCAACACACACTGAGTAGCGAACCAATTTAAGTTAGAATCAGCATCATCATTATGATGATCAGTGTGCTCAGAGATCTGGGGGATATACGAAATCTGGAGATCTGGAGAGGTTGATAAGAGATTTTCATTTTCCTGCAGCTCAGTCACAAAGCGAACGGCGACTGGGAAAGTTCAAGCGGCTAAACTAAAGCGGAAAATATAGAAAGTGGAAAGGAAAACGCGCAGTGAATTTTTTGGGATAAACAAATTGAGGGGAAAATCCCAAAGTGGAGCAATAGTGGAAACCTTGAAAAGTGTGCGAGATAAACGGAAAAGTCAGTAGAAAATAACAAAGATCATGGATTAGAAGTTGTGAAAAACAAAAACTCAAGCAAATTGTGCACTGTGATTTAGTGTGTAATATATATTTATATATATATATATGTATAGCAACAACAACTGGCTTGGTCTGCCTTGATGATCACAAATTTCAATTGAATTTAATCAAAATCACAAGAAAAAGCCAGCGAGAGAAATCGTAAAAAACAAAATAAACTAGGGATTTAATTTTGAGTGCCTCGCAATGTGTTAGTCTGTGTGCGTATCTGTGTGTGACCGAGAAACTTAGATCGGTGGCAATTTTCCCCTCCCCCTTTGGCCGCTTTTCATTGAAACGAACTTCAAAACTGTCGACGAGTCTATGCAAATAGCCGAGTGTTAGACGGGAAAATGGGGAAAATGGTCAGCGAGGAAATGGCCACGGATCCGGCGGTTACGGAAAAGGTGGAGCTATCGCGATTCGGAGAATTTTGCCAGCGACACGGCATCAATCCCAACCTGATAATGCTGAAGATAACTCTTTTCGTGATGTATGGCGGTGAGTAATGTGAAAAAAATATATCATTAAAAACCAATTAGAAATCGCTCTTATCAAAAAAGAAAAAACGTAATGTGTCTGCATTTACACTTGGCTTTTGCCTTGCTTTTTACAGATATCACGCATACGACACGTTGATTTTAAAAGAAATTAGCTGAATTCAGAGAAAATAAACACACTGTGTCACCACATTATTATTTGATATTTAATGTTAATAGTTGATAATTTATAGATTTTTATATTTTTTTAAAACATTAACAGGAATGAAAGTACCCTAGTATTTAGATTTTAAAGGTAACTGAATTAATTTTTTTATAAATTTATCTAGGGTACCTTTATTTTAGATATTATAAGAAAGGAATTTAGAAGGACTTTAAGGAAAAATGCATCCTTTTCTTTTTAATAAATTATAAACAAGTATTTTTATGTGCCAAAAAATCCTAACTAACCTTAAATATTTACCAAATGTGTCAAAACGGAAGTACAGTTTCCCTTTTCCATATCTCAGAAATATAAACATTATTTAATGGCAATGCAGCATCTGGAAAAATGTTGAGCAAAGTCCGGTGGACCGACTGATTCTCTGGCAGTGAATCTGAATTCATTATCACACTCCACGAATCCCCTTCTCCGGAATGTAGGGGACTGGGCTGGTCGGAAGTTATCAATTAGGCTGGGGAAAAGATGTAACACATTTGTATAAATTCAGTTAGAGTCTGATGCACATTGAGCAGATTTTCCCAGCGTGTGGCAATTAGGCATTCATAATGCCTGTGTGTGTGTGTGTTTGTGCGTCTTTTGTAAATAAATCTAGCTTATGAGATTTAAGCTTGAGAAAGGTTTACTTTGATTCGCCTTGGACGAGTGTATATATATATTTGTAGCCGCCTCCGTTTTCTGACCGTGCGCCATTTTCTGAATGCTTTTTTTCTGGCGGTCAATGGCAAAAACATTTTACTAACCACCCACCCACTCACCACCTCCCTTTGTCTTTTGCCATTAAACTCACATTGTCACTAAAATGAGTATTAATGCGTTTTTTATTTGGCTAAAGTTGAGCCGAGGATTCTTTTTCGGCATTTCTTTTATTTTCGTCTCGGTTTTTGGGCAGTGCAAAGTTCAAAAAATAATTTAATTGGCTTAGAACATGTATGTGCGGCCATATAAAATGTTATTTAATACCTTTCATTGGCTAGACAAAGGAATTTCAGGGCACGTCATTAAAATGATTGTGGCTTCTCCTTTTCATTTTTCAGTGACATGTTGATTGTTTTAAAATTTATTTTTTTCTTTGTCCATTTTTCATTATTTTTCAAAGTGATATTGTATTTTTCTGTTGCTCTTTGCAGTTCAATGATGTTGAAACGCGTATTAATTAAATATCAATTGTAATAATTAAAATGGTAAATAGCTGAACAAATAAGAAAAAATGATTTAATGATTTAAAAAGCCGATGGATATTCCTATATATATACAAAAATTAAGTTGAAAGTTAAGTAAAGGACTAACTTTTGAATTTGTATTTTTTATTTATTTAATCCTTTGACCTTTAAAATTAATAATGCCATTAGGTTTTCACAAAAAATAGGTATGCCTTCAAAATAAAAAGAGTAAAAGTCAGAAAAATTAACGGAAATTCATTATTGCATATGAATGCAAATTTATTAAAATGTAATTAGCTATGGAAATATGCCTTTTGTTTGCATAAAAATCCTTTAGTGATCTAATTACCCCCATTTAAATATATTGATTTCGTTTCAATCAATTTGAAATGTGGCTTTTGTTATGTCTTCTTTGTTTTTTAATCTTTTGAGCTGGCTTTCTCATTTTCGTGACGTCTGACAGATATACCCACATTACATTTTTTCCTTAAGTTCCCTTTCATGTCAATCAACTTTAATTTCCGAAATGAAATTACCCAGCATAACCATTGCCCTAAATGTCAATTCACTATTCACCGGTCGATGAAACCCCGAAATGAAAAAATGAAGTGCAATTAATATTTCTGGCAGCAAATTTTCCATTTGTCAGTGTCAGTTGTGGATCTCTACCACCTGTCCCCTCAAATATTCACAAATAAAGTGCAATATAGTAGTTGCGAATTGCATAGATGTGCCTGAACATGTTACCCAAAACTTTGTGCATAGTTGAAAATATGTGCGACAAGCGAAAAACGGAATAATAATTATTAAAGTTGGGGTTTGGGGCCAAAAAGGGGTATTGAAATGGGCAAAAGGACATTAATTACGAATGACAGCGTGGCAGGAACAGATCCCAACCGAATGGAACCGAGAAAAAACTTTACACTACTACAATTATTTTTGCTTTAATATTACATTTCTCATGGCTTTGGATATGCGGAAATTATAATTATGCGGAAAAGAAGGGCACCAAATATTTTTAAAAATGTTTCAGGTTTTCCGAACCATTAGAAAATTGTAGTGAGAATATTTGGTAATGCTATAATATTTTTTTCGAACTAATGAAATCATTTTCAGCGCTCTGTGTTCTTCATAGTTGATTTTATTTTATGGGCTTTTCTTTCTGTGTTCGAGAACGCGAATGAACATGAATGGCCGCCAAGCCAAACAACCCTGACATGCTTGCGTTTCCGTTTCCGCCGAGCGAAAGGGAAGAAACGGCAGCGGCCATACGAGCAATTAATTGTTATTGCATTGAGCAAATACAAACAGACACACACACGGCGTATTATTGTTAATTATCTGAGGCGATGCAGGAGCTGTAAAAGCGAATTCAAGCCGCCATTTTCCGAGGCCGAGTGTTAACTGCACTTTAACAAACGAATTTCATTCAGGACACGCACTTTTCCCCCTTGAACACACACATTTCTACGTGCTGGGGATCCTTGGTGTGTTTGCATTTAAATTGGTCAAGGCTGTGGAATGAATTGGTGGCTGGGGAAAATTGGGAATGTGACTGCTTCCCTGTTTCGCCCAATTTGTTGCCATTATTTTCCTCCCACGATTTTCCCCGTTTTTCCACCTCTTTTGACTGCAGCCACGTGACGCGTGCTCGTTGCGTTAATGTTCATAAATTATTAAAATGCAGGGCGATTATCTGTGGCCCTTTTTCGTGGTGTCATTTCTGGGACATTTTTAAAGGTTAAATATTATCAATTTTAGTGCCACGATTGACTTAGGAATTTTAAGAAAATAAATATTTTGGCCTTGACCTGATTTTTTATTAACCAAACGAATTAAAAAACCCTTTAATTAGTTTTTATACATGCTAATATGTTACAAATATTTTTTGTTGGCTGATTTCAATACTCTCTTGTGTTTGCTCTATGTCAATCAATTGAATAACCATGATAATATAATTAAATTGAAATGAAAAGAAGAAATTAAATGGCCTACCACATTTTAAAAGTGGGTGGTATGGTAAAATATTTAACTGGTTACCTTGGTAAGCCATCCAACAGTTTGATAACCTTTTGTGGCAAATCAAACTCTTCTGTTCCTTTTTTCCCCTCATTAACTCAGAATTTTTAATTACCTTTGACGGGCTTTATTAACCCCAACGAAATTCCATCGTTTCCTTTAAGCAATTTCCCCGTTCTTCACATTTCCTGCTGATAATTAAGTTCTCCTTCTCGATTGCCAATAATTCGCACAATAATCTGTACTCCTTTTGTCATTGCAGCCACCTCGTCGCTTTTGCCCTACCTGACGATTCACATGCAGTCGATTGGACTCACGGTGGAGGAGATTGCAATTATCTACCTGGCCCTGCCCTTCACCACTTTTCTTAGCCCGCCCATAACAGGTGAGTAGATGGGCGGTTAATTGTTTTAATGCATCTTAATTAGCATTCTGCGTCGATTTTAATTAAAAGTTTTGCCTTGTTTGATTACTCGTGCATAATGACGAGAGCAAAAACCGAAAATCAAGCCAAGCGAAAAGTGCCAAGAAGCGTTTCTGTGGGTTTGACACTATTTAATTGTATTAAATTAAATCAACTTATCAAGAGAAATTTAAAGATTTAATATAATTCATACAAATTGTTTTCTTATTTAAAATTACATAAAAAGATTTTATTTAAAAAGCAACCAATACAAAATTAAATCGTTACCAAAAATACAACGATTTTAAAAGCTCTTCGTTTTGTTAATATATACATTTATTCAACCAAACTGCCGACATTTGATTGGTTTTTTATCACCACCATAGCTGCAATCTTTTTCATTGGATGGCATTTTCTTTTTTAGACCAGGCCACTTTTCCAAGCGAGTGCGAATAATTTAATTCACTTGCAGTTTAAATGACAATTAAACAAAGTTCTTGTTGTTCTCCTTTGACTGTCTGTATGTGAAGTGCCCCCATCGTGTGGTTGCATTCGCTTCCTTTTGTCCACCGTTTTTTATATATCCATTCTTATTATTTGCTTTTGCATTTTAAAAAATGCATTTGCGGTATGGAATGTTGGCGACAGCGAAGGTTTTTAAACATTTTATGTGGACACTCGCTGCAGATAAATGTTGAAGGGAGATGCATGCTGAAACAAAGGGACGCGGGGCTGTTGGGAAAAGTGCATAAAGCTGGTCAAATTGTTGGACATAAAAGCTGGGGAAAAAAATATAAAATGTGAGCTAAGTGAAAACGCTCTCGTAAAGTTGCGACATCAAAATTTCGATCATCCAACTTGCGTTATAATCATGCTAGATAGCCCCAGTTAATGGCATTGAAAGCTTCGAGCTATGGTGCGATAAAAGTAAAACGAGCTGAAGATATATGAGGGAAATAAAATAGGGAGATGGTAAAGAGTTCAAGCGTTATAGAAATAAATGCAAAGGAGTTTAAGAGTAGTATTTTAAATAAATATGTAGGTCAGAAACTGGTGGTAGCTTGTTGAAATAGACCTCAATACTACACAGAGTGAAATATTCAAGTACATAGTTTTTGAATTGAGAACATTCGTTCTCAAAAAAAGAGAAAAGTTAAATTAAGTTTACTTAACAACTTTTTGATAAGTATATAATGTAGATGTACAATGCAAATACCACCAACTTGATTCGAGCAAAATTAAAACATTTTTAACTTCCCAAATGTCGATCTATTTTAAAGAACATTTTCAACTCAGATGAGAACGTCAGAATTTTCCCTGTGTAGTATTTTTTAAAGTTTAAAACATTGCGATTTACCATAGCCAATTTAAAAAAAATATTTTGAAAGTAGATTTATGTTACTAAAATTTTTTTATTAATTACCTTTGCTTTTCTTTTTTAAACTTTTATGTGCTTTGTTGCTCTTAGTTAAATTTAAACATTTTTGAACTGCTGCTTAAATTTAAGACGCACTATTCAGGTATATGGCAGCTTTTCCAGTTTGTCTCCTTGGTGTGGCAAATCCAACTTAAACTGCATTTAAGCTGCTAGGAACCAATCAAAGCCCCCAGCCAAATTGTAGACAACTTACTTTGAGCAGCGAACTCTTGGATTCACACAACCGACGATGCAGTTTCCAAACATCTTGCTGCAATTTCGCTTACATTTTCCCCAGATTGATTCCATTTTTGTTGTTTTTTTTTTCTTACACTCCCTGCAGGCTTCCTCGTTGACAAATTTGGCAAATACAAACCGGTCGTTGTGATGAGTCTGCTCCTGAATGCGATTTTCCATCACTCGCTGCTCTTTATACCGCAGCAGGAGATTCCGGGCGTGGTGCCATCGGCGTTCGTATTGAGACATCCAGACAGCGGTGATATTGAGGTAAGATGTTCAGACACTGAAAAAATTAAATTAAGTAGGTATACCATGAAAACAAAAGTTAAAAAAATAGATTTCATAAAGTAGAATATTTTTGAAAACATGTAAATAAGATTTTTATATGATCTGGGAAGAGCAACAGATCTGAGAAACATTTATTTTGTATAAGAATAAGTTAATATAATATATATATTCATCTAAAATTCTTTTCTGTGCCATACTCTAAGGCGATGAAAAGTTCCACCTTCAATCGATTAAAGCACCCTGACTTCGTTTCAATCAGTTTGAATGTTTGGAGAATACTGTAATCTGCTTAGGGGCTGCGGTTGAGGTGCGTGGGTAAATATCTTTAGACGCTTGTTTAGTTAAGAGCTAAAAATGATGTGGCTGCGGTTTTCCAACCTCGATTCTCTCAGTTTTCCCTCGCGGCAAAAGTTCCCGGATGCATTATTCTGCTGCTCATGGGGAAACAGCTGTTGCTCTTGTACAGTTTTAATGCGCTTACTTTATGGTTACCCTGCACTTTCCTCACCCACTTTAACGTCCTCCGATTCCATACGATTTTCATTTTCTTGATGACTTTGACTGTAATGTGAGTGAGGGGTGGTGTGTGCAGTTACTAGCTGGTAATTAATATCGTACACTTAAAATGTTTCAAATTACCTGCCATTAATGTGTTGGCCTTAAAATTGTATATTTCACGTTTGTTCCTGTGGACTAAGTGTGGTAACTACATTTAATTTTAAATATAATTCAACAAAGCTCTAAATCCCATATATTTGAAGAACACTTTGTTGCATTTTCATAAGTTTACATAGACAATAAATTAATCGTTTATAATTTGTATTTATCTACTATCGAAAACCACAGCCACATTAGGTAATTTTGTCCAAATAACTTAAAAGTCTGATAATCTTTTGACAATTGAATAATAAATATTAAATGATTATATATTTAAATTTCATTTTTCGTGTGAAATCATTTAATTTTAAATACAGAACTTATTTTTTTGTGTATCTTAACAAATTAAAGCTAGTATAAAATACTAAAATTAATACTTGCATAAAAACCTAAAGTCCTTTTTCCCGATTCAGAACTTAAAGCAATATGTTGCTTCTATAAATAGGTTACGAATTTCTTGCAATCTTTAAGTGTTCCACATTTCTGGCAGTAAATTTATTGCAGCCCGTCAGATAATTTTCAATGGCAATTGTTGCGTGCGAGTTGCCAAAAATCTTCGGCATCCTCTTAGCCATTGGGAACTGCTTTTAAGCGCTCCTTCCACTTTTCACAATGGTCTCACTTCAGTCACGGCATGTCTCTATTTTGGAGAGGACCAGGGAGCAAAGGATGTGGCAGGCGAGAACTACATAAAAGCCGGCATTTATTCGAGGCAGCAGCAACATAATGTTGCCACATGCAACACACCCACACACCCGCACTCCCCCACACACCAGCACATTTTGCGCACAAAAACACCCAAACCAGCGCGCAGAGTATCTGTGTGTGTGTGGGGGGGTGTGTATCTAATGCGTGTCACGTTGCCGCGTTGCGCGATGCTGCGAATAAAAAGCAGGGAGATGCTTCGTTTCGTTTGGCAACTTCCTGCCGCTTTCTGAGCTCCCAGCAGCATGCCACATGCTGACTCACACACAAACGCACCACGGAGCGTATACGCAATGCGACGCGGCACACACAGATGGAGTCGTGCAAATATTACGTATACGCATGGAGTACCACACTTGGCAGTTATTCCTTTATTCAAGCGTCTCGACACTCGACAAAAGAGCACATACAAGCACAAAAGGGAACAATTATTAACTCTCAAGTATAGTTATGTAGAAATTGTTTTGGAAATTCCTGAGATTGGTTTTACTTTGTTCTTTGTGTGCTATATTTTTGGTCTGCTTGCTGTTGCAATATGATCTATTTTCAAAATATGTCAAAGAAATGTCTGCATCTAACAATTTTTATATCTTTAAAAATCGATATTCAAATCTAATATTGGTTTTCTTATACTAAAAAGAAGGTACATACTTAAAATGTATGGGAAATACAAATTAAATTTATAGTTAAACTCAAATTAAATATGATTACCTTTTTTGAATCCAAAAATATTCCTGATATTTAACTAATAGAAATTTATCAATAAACATGTAATAGAACATATTTAAATTGGTGGTAAATATTTAAAAATAATATCTAATATGTATTCTTCAAGTGCACAAATTTTTCTGTCACCCTGTGAGTGCAGTAGCTGAATCCGTCCTTCCTCATTCCATACCATTTTTTTGTCCTTTTTGCTGCCTTTGGATCCGCTCTGCTCCTGGTTCTATCTGCATTTCTGCATAAATTTGCGTCATGTAAAATCATCGAAATAAAGCAAATAAATGTCATCCCATCTGAAGGAAAGGGCGACAGGGTACACAGGGATATATATGTATATGTCGAACCAGAATTTCTGTGATTTCCCTTAGCGTTTCCTTTTTATTGATATCGATATATATATGTGTGTACGCTTTATGCTTATGATCATATCAATGCAAACGACTCTGACTCGAGCTTTGGGGGGTTGGATGTTATTGCGTGTCCTTTGGGTCCTGTGGGTCCCTTAAGCCGGTCAGATGTGGCATAACAAATTTGAGTACATGCTTTATGGGTGCCAGTGAGAGATTTCGTGGCACACAGAAGCTGCACAGCTTTTCCCCGAGGTGTTCGACCGGAGTTCAGCTCCACAAAATCCTCTCGAGATTGCATGTTCTTTATGGAGTTCGAGGAGAAGCGGCTGACAGTCTCACACCTTTTGGCAATTGGACACAAGCAGCTCTCGAGTTCGGGCAGCAAATTGCAGCAGTCGCAGGACTACAAGACTACAAGAGTTTTACATAAATCGAATTATGGACTTGCAGGCGGAACGAGGGATGGGAAAGGGACCGAGACACATCCGCATGACTGGGATATTATGGTAAAACGAAGCCAAAGGGCCCTTACGATTGAGAGTGGGCCGAGGCTAAACAAATTCAAATGGTAAATGGAAAATAGAAAATGACAGAAGCAGCAACGCAGCCTGACAGCCAGCAAGCGAATGGAACGCATTAGAAACAGCTCACCAGAAGCAAATACAAGGTTTTCCAGAGTGGGGGACATTTTTGGGGCACTTCTCGAAGTTCTAGTTCTAGACGGTGCCAAAAAATCCACTTAAGCCGAGTGCACATCAGGTTTACAAGCACTAACAAAAAAAATCTTCTTATATTGTTAGGCAAGGCTGGAAGTAATTTGATTACAAACTGACAATAGAAAAGTATTGAATTCTGTGTCCAAAATAATTTAATTTGAATTTACAAATTGAGAGAGCATAATCTTGGATACATTTTAAGATATGAAAAATATTCAGCACTGCTCTATGAAATAACAAATAACGACTATTCCTTTTATGAAAATAAAGCTATATCCGTAAAATGTATTTATATGCTTTTATTAAAAAAACTGTGAGCTGTTTTAAATACATATTTATTTGATTTATTTTTGAAAATATTACGAATATTTTGAATAGGAAAATATTTTTGTTTACTATTAGTTTTGGGGAAATTTGGTGTTGATTTTTCCGAGTGCTAGTGTGAGTGTTTCATGTCCGTGCCTGTGTATCACGTACATTTATCTTAGTGTCGTTTTGCCAGCACTTAAGCCGCACTAAAACACCAACACGAATGCACACTCTCACACACATTAAAATCTTTCTTTCGCACACACACACTCACAATCGCACTCCAGCCATTGCCGTTAGTCGTAATGAAACGCAATGGAACTGCTATTTTGGGGTAGATCCTGGGTCCTGGGTCCTGAATCCTTGGCCCTTGGCCAAAAGACGCCCCAGCACTCGCCTCATTTCACGAATGTATCTGAAAGATACGCACACACGCATCCAATGGCGGCCAATCCCTCCCAGCGCTCTCCACTTGGCACGGGCGTATATTGAATTTGTATTTATGATGTGCCCATAAAATACAATAACACCATTAAAATAGCTGCAGCAAACAGGGGGAGAAACGACAGCGACTAGGCGAATTCGGAATACCCTGAGAAAAGTATAGTGAAAGATATATGGGAAGTTTTGAACAATTCAATTGATTTCTTTGTAAAAATAAATCTAAATTCAAAAAAAAAAGAGAGAGAGCACACAAAAAGTAAATATAAATTGCATATAAAATAACAACGATCATATCATAATAAGAAAATACTGAGGATATTATACTGGTAAAACAAATTGACTTAGAATGACCTGGAACTATTACCTAAATTTCAAGAATAATGACAAGCAGAAAAGCTAAGCATATATATTATAGGAAAAATTTAGTCAACAAAATGTATACTCCCAACCCTTTTTTTTGTAATTTTACTGAAATATATATATCAAATTAATTCTGTTGGAATTGTTTGGCATTATTGATAGGCATTTTTTGAGTTTTAAAACTAAAGTTGAAATATTAAATTAAAGTATTTAAATTGTTAAAATCCCAACTCCAAGCTAGTAATACCCCTTTAGAGAGTAATTTGCTGGCATAAGGGCATGCAAACGCATCTTATGGCTACATTTGTGTTCATTCCGCACGTTCGCCGGACGTCGCCATCCTTCGAATCCTTCGAGTCCTGGAGTCCAGGAGCCGGAGTCTCATGTAGCATATCCCGTGTATTCCTGTTCCACTGGCCATGTCCTGTTGCTTGCGGTTTACTATTTTATGCCATTATAGAGCCGAGCTCGGTTTGCCGTTTGGCATAAATTTATTTGGCATCGACCGCCGACGACGGCAGTGAACGGAAATTACCATTTTATTATTGCAGGCAAGCGCTCGATACTGCCGCCCAATCAGCCCCTTGCAACCCTTGAAAGAGCCTTATTGAATTCGCATTAAAATTGGTAACGGATATATGCAGGAACACACACAGCCACAGGCAATACACTGTTAAAATGGGGATGCTTCTCCTCTTGACATTATAAATAATAATAAAACAACACATTGCTGATACATTAACCCATTTATTTAATAGCAATATATTACAATTCCATTCTGAATCTCAAGCAATGTACAATTTTGAGCTATGTATAAAAGTGTTTTTCTCAATGTAAGTGCTGCAAATGCAGATACACGTAAAATCCGAAAGATATTTATTTATGTTTGTGTTATTATGGATGAGGGCTTAAGTTCATATATGGGCGGCTTATGATGGGTTAAGTGCCACTTTTGGCTGGATTTCAATGGGTGATGCGTGAAGGTGAGGGAATTTATAAAGTGGCCACCATCGTTACATCTGTGTCATTCCAGATGGTCTGGTTGGGAACATCATCTGTTGGGGCATCGCCATCATTATCCCCCTGGCCAGCTTCAGAGAACTCCTCCTTATCATTATCATTCCCATCGTTAGCATCCTTTCCATCGTCCTCATCATCCACTTCATCAACGCGATCATCTTGTCCTGGTGGAAAATCATAGGCAGTGCGAAGGGAATCGCAATCAGAATTGATAGCCTCATCTGGTGAACCCAAATCCAAATCGGGAAGCTCTGGAATCAGCTCTGGTTTCATTTCTGGTTTCTGTATCGGTTCCTTCACCTCTTCCTTTTTTTCCTCTTCAATTTCCTCCTTTGTGGTATTCATTTTAATCTTACTCTCAACAAACACTTGCCTATCGATTAGCTTGCCAGCAGGATAGAAGAAATCCTCCAACATCATTTGCCATTCAGTCAAATACGTTTCATAGTCACGCATTTCGAAAAACGCTTGTTTCTTAATGAAACCAGTAACTTCGGTTCCCGATAGCTTGGCATATTTGCCACCAGGTCCAAAATCATGAGCTGCACTGGACACATCATAGATCACGTCGAGTAGGGCCACCAAATAGGTCTTATCCGGACGTTCCGAGTTATATTTGGCCAACTGCTTTCGATTGAGACGTAAACCCGTCAATGGAGCTGGCAGCTTGCGGTGTCCCTCATTTTCGTAGTCCTCATCATCGTAGGTTCCATGTTGACGCCTGGTCTTAATATAGGCCACATAACCCAGGACACAGGTCATCGCGATTATGGCAAAGGGCGAGGTGACCAGTTCACGGAACTGAATGCTCCAGGATTTGGTCGGCAGAGAAGACATTCTAGATTTTCCTTGGTTTTCCCTTGGGTTATTGTATGACCTACCTATACAACTTGATAACAGAACTGAGCTAACTGAAGGGTGAACGCTGTGAAGTAATAGCTACGGCCAACTTATGATTTTAGATTTTGCATTTTTAAAGAAATTTTATTTGTCTAAGGAGACTAGATTAAACATATAAGAGTAGAATAAAATATTAAAAATATTTCGAAAAAATAATATAGAACAAAAACGAAATAAACACATATTGATTATCATGTAAAACTAACATCTTTGGTATGTATCTATTAAAATACACATTATATAGATTTAAGGGAAACATCCATATAGATTATTAAAATGTGTTTAAGTTAATAGCAAAGGTTGTTTAGCCATTTCAAAGTTTTGTTTTTACACATTTCATTGGATACACAAATACCATTTTAGAGCCTTTCCAAGGAAGCAAGATTACTAGCAGCTTAAACAATCGATGTAGGAAATCCAAGCAAATGTTCAGGGATACTTTAAGCATCTGCTGAACATGCTTTGGCTCTCCAGCTGTTTGCACAAATCCTTTACCCATTTCTAATTTCCAATACATTCCTTTTGTCTTTTCAAACCGTAATTTTCTCCGCAGGTCTGGTGGTCCCCGTGTCCGAGTCGAGAATGTCCGGAGGAACCGGAGCTGGAATTGGCCGTGCATCAGTGCGTCGACTATTGTTTGATGCAGGAGCAAGTTAATCCAAAGCTTTACACGAATAACCCGGCGTACGATGTCCGTCCGGGCACCACGTCAACCAGCCAGAGACCCCAGCTAACAGCAACCACAGCAAGGACGACCACAATGGAACCCTCCTCCGAATCGAGCTCATCGCCAGCCCCAACCACATCGACCACCACATCGCCGGCGTCATCATTGCCAGCATTATTCGCAACGCAAACGAGGAGCAGATACCAAGAAGTACTTAATATGTCATCGACCATGTTCCCGCCAATGTCCCAGCTGAAGGAGGTGGGTCTGGGTCGAGGTCTGGAGCCCGGCCAGTCATCGTCAGCCGAACTGTCAGCCATGTCCATGCAGGGATTGAATTGTAAGTGACGTGATGAACCCGTCCACAGTGGACTCCCCTTGCTCAACCACTGACTGACCACAGCGTTATTATCATGGCCAGTTGGATGTGCACTGGCAAAAATTTATAGTCAGAACTTTCTTATTGATATCATAAAAAATTGCATTATTCTAGCAAGAGTACTGCAGCAATTTATAATGAAATTGAACACTTAGAGGTCCAATAGTAACAATAGAAATTTTGGTTGATATATGTTTCATTTAACCAATTAGTTTTCAAAGCAATTGAAAAAGAAGTATAAAATATGATTATATAGATAGATATATTTTTTAGATATTGGTGGGACACATTCTATTTCATTTAAAAAATATATTTATTGACGGTTTGTAAAAGGATGACCCATGTTGTCCTTTAGACCTTTTGTAATACCTTTTTCAGGAGGACCTTGCAATTTTGTATCCAAGTGTAGGATTGCAAGTTGCTTCTATGTAGTTGGTCCTTTGTTCTTCCACTCAGTTTACTTGTTGTCGACTTGCAATGCTCTCCTATGCTCTCCCCAGCCATTTTTTGATATCCATATACTCCGTCCGTGTCCGTGTCGATGTCCGTATCCGTATCCGTGTCCGTATCCTTGTCCGTGTCCGTGTTCCTGTCCCTGTCCGTGTGTTTTACTTTTATTAGTTTGTTTTTCCGTCTTTTGTGAGCTGCCAACTGGGAGCAGGAGCAGGAACAGAAATGCCAAGAACAACTTGCTCCATAAAAGCCAAAGACCGAACCGACTCTCTATGAAACTACAAAAAATAAGTATAATTCAACCTGTCTGAGTGCGTGCCAGTGCGGTGGATGTGGGGTTGTCATTAAAGCCTGACGTTTTGTGGGGAGCCAAAGTTTACGGGGAAACTTTTTTCCAATTCTGTGGAAAAAACTTCACAGAGAGGCGTTTTTATTCCACATTATTAAAAGTGGGCGGCAGCTTGTCACTAGGTATGGGAAAATAGACAGGGGAGTTAAATGAAAATATATCCAATGGAGATGGAAAAGAGAGTGCTTTCGCTTGGGATAATATCTTGGGTAAACAGTTTAGTTTTGGCAAGAAGAAGATTGTGGGATCGCTACCTCTACAGTTTCTGCTTTTTATTTAATTTAAAGCTTTAAAGATTGAGCCATAAATCACATTTCACATAACTTTTTGGATTGAGTACAAAAATTAATAAAGGGAAATTATGCCAACAACAGCTTGTATAAGTATAACATAAAATACACAGTTGAGATCAAATATTATACCTTTTATAATCAATCAATCTTAAAATGTATCTATTTCATACTGTGATTCCCCAAATCCCAAAAGTGCTAGACCCAAATCATGTTCTACTCATAAGAGAAAAGTACATCACATGTTGGCAAAACTTTCTCCCTGCCCCATTTCACCTAAACAAAACTGAGAAGAGTCTGAAACTTTGGTAATGTCCTGGCTGGAAATCACAATGTGGAAATTCCCGAAAAGGGGGCACTACAGCAGCAGACAAAAGTGCATAACTAACTAAACATGATGGCATTACACTGGGCAGTACGCTTGACACTTGGCACAATTGGAAATTGGTCATGCATGGCCAGCACAGGACATCAGGGCCCAGGACACAACAGAGTACAACAGGACACTACAACTGGAAGTCGGAATCAGGCTCCAGTTTCCCCGGGGGTGCAGAAAAGTACAGGAAAAGTGCAAAAGCAATTTTACTGCCTGTCTGATTATGTGAAAAACTCACTTTAACATAGCGGGGCAAATGGAAAGGGAAAATGACTTACAATTACAGCTCTGTTGCGCAAATGCGCATTGGAGAATTAAGTTAACGTTAAACAAGTTAGGAACTCTAAAACATTTGACCTCTGGCTTTTAACTTCATAACCAAATAAAAAGGGGAATTTATTTTTTATGCAGCTGAAATACTAAGTATTGTTTTCTTTTTCTTAACAGTGACCGATAGTAGTCAGCAGAAGTTGGCTTGGAGTAGTTGGGTGCATTCTGATAGTGAGGATGCCACGTACTTCATGCTGCAAATGCATCCCGATCTCGCCGATCCCACCGAGCAACTGGGCATGGAGATCGAACAGGATGCCAATGAGACGGTTACCGATATCCTGCAGAGATTTGGTCAGGACTATCTGGTCAGGGGTAAAATAAACCTCACCGATATGGATGATCTGGATTTGAGGTGTGGCGGCTTGGTTCGTCGCACGAATATGACACACTTGGGATCCGGAGCTGTAAAATGCATGATGCAACGCTGTACCTTTACCATGAATGCTCCGGAAATTTGTCCACCGGACTATAAAGAGACCGATGAGATCATTTTCTGGGTTTACTTCTTGCTGAGGTGAGTTTGAGTAGACATTTTTCAGAAGGTTTAAAAATATTTTACATATTAATAAAATTTGTTAAAACGTTTAACTTAAAAACTTCTTTAAACTGTAAGATGACTTTTTAGATATTTTTTATTGGCTCTGCCTTTTTGTAATTACATATAATAGCTTATAACATATAATGTAGCACATTTGAAAGCAATATTTTATCCATTGATTTTTTGAACAGATTTTATATATACCTTTCCCCTCCAAAAACAATACCTTTCACTCCACTTGAATTCGGTTATATATCCACATCTGTGCTGATGCTGAAATATATATGTTCCTCCCCAGATTCTTGGCCACCACCATGCTGTCAGCCGGAGTAACCATCATGGATCCGATTGCCCTGACAATGATTGAGAAGTACGGTGGCGATTTCGGACGCGAGCGATTGTTTTCCAGCATCGGCATGGCCATATTCTCTCCGATAACGGGCATTATGATTGATTACTCCTCGAGGGGTCTGGGCTATACGGACTATTCGGCAGCCTTCTATACGTACGATGTGTTGTTGGTAATATCCACAATGTCGGTGCTGATGATGCCCCTTGGCGAGAAACTGCCAGCTGATAATGTATTCCGAGATCTATGGAACCTGCTCAAAATGCCCCATGTGATTGCCTTTATTTGCTTCCTATTTGTGCTGGGCAATTTCTGGGGTTTCATCGAAAGCTTCCTATTTCTGTACCTCAAGGAACTGGGAGCTCCAAACTATCTGCTGGGTGAGTTTGGAAACATTAGAACTGGTTTAATGTTACCTATATATGTGGCTTTTGATGACCAGGTATTACCATCACCGTGGGCACCGTGAGCAGTATACCATTCCTGTATGGAGCGGAGAAAATCACACGAATCTTTGGGCACGTTAATTTGATTATCATCGCTTTCTTCTCGCATGCCGGTCGTTTGGTGGGCTACTCCTTCATCGAGTGAGTGCGAATAATGCTGGTCACATGCCGGCCTAATGCAATTCCAAAATTCAATTCCCTTCTCCTTCGATAAAGGAATGCCTGGTGGTGTTTTCCGTTCGAGGCCATGGAGTCGTTATCCTGTCACCTTATGTGGGTGGCTGCGGCGACCTACTGCTCGATTCTGGCCCCGAAAAGTTTACTGGCGACCCTGATTGGTGTTCTGGGCATGGCTCATTTCAGTTTGGGTAAGTACCAGACTTACAAGAAGAAAACATGTTGCAGAAACATGGGTTTCCTGTTTGCAAACTATATATATATCAATGTGAGATATTTGTTTAGGTATATAACAACTTACAAAAATCGATATTATTAAAGCCCGAAAATTTTAAATTTTTTTAAACCATTTCTCAGATAAAACTAGATTTGAAAAATGCTTTAAAATTGTTTAAGCTTAGTAAAATATTCTATAATTTTTGAAACTTTCGAATATTTTCCTTATAGAACAAATTTTAAATACTAAAAGGTTTTAATGAATATATATAAAGTGTTCTAGTATTTGTAAAATAATTTTTTTTTATATTTTATTTTATTCGAATATATTTTGTTGCCCAATATGGAATCCCATTTTTCCGCGTGTACTTTCCTAATGAGGCACTTTCCGTTTATGTAATCACATTTGGTGTGTCTTCAATTTCAGGACGCGGCAGTGGTAGTTTTACTGGAGGACTCCTCATTGGTCAGTTCGGCACTCGAGATGCCTTTCGTTACATGGGTCTTCTTGCAGTGGTGGGAGGTATTGCCTATGGCCTACTCCATCTGATTTGGCTGCGCAAATTCGATCATACTACCGAGGAATCCGAGGAGGAGGTTGAGCAAGTGGAGGCCGGAGAAACGGAGAAGCTCACCGAACCGGCCACAAAGGAGCAGGGCACTTCGATGTCCTTGGAGCGGCTGAGTTTGATGATTAAATACAATCAGATTGGCAGTCTGTCATCGCTGCCGAGGGGCTCGCGGGTGAGTTTTGGCTTAATCAAGAATCCTTTATGGTCAGGGCAGAAAACCACATTTATTAACTTAAAGCACCTATGAAGTAATTGCTGATAAAGTCAAGATTGTGGTTTAAAGCAGAGTAGTTTTTGGAATTTTAAAGTAGCTTTCAAGAATAACTACCCTGGTTAAATTTTGTTAATGATACCATGGCCTCTTGTCAAAGTGTCCACCTGTCGGACCTTTTTCCTTCGATTATTTTGTTAATGATACTGCGAAGTGCGCTTTTTAAATTGATTTTCATTCCTGCAGGCCGATATCCATGACCATCTGTCGGTGCGTCGCAGCAGCTACAACGTGGAGTCCTTGAGGGGGGTTCCCCGGCACGGGAACATTGGGAGTGCCTCCAAGGTGGATATCCTGCGCTCGGCACTGGAGATTAATCACAAGTCCTCGAACAATTCAATGCTGAGCAAGGCCGATAACAAGACGTCGAATCAACCATTGGGTCGCAATCGGGCCGACAGTGCCCCCAAATTGAATCACACAAATCTGAAGAACATTTCACAGCCAGCCCTTGAGGGCGTGGTCCTGGAGGTGAGTAAATATCTATTTAAGCTCCCCCCTTTTTCGACCTTTTTGTATGAGTGTGCGTGTTGTGTGCGTTTGAGTGTCTCGCTGATTGCTGCCAATTGTTTTGATTTCTGTATATTTCTTCTACCAAAAAAATTGTTTTGGGTCTACCCACTCTTCGGTCGTATGTTTGGTTTTTAAATACCCAACATCTGTTGCCACAATAACTTTTTAGCATGCCGCCGCGTGTCCTTTGTGCCCGGCTGTGTCCTGTCTCTGGTTTTTGCCTTGACAGCCGGAAGCCGGGGCCAACTGCATCCGCCTCGGCTTCGATTCGTTCAACATGCACTCGGAAAATAGGAGACTGCAGTCGGAAAAATAATTTGCAATTTAAAATGGCTTTGAAATTATAAACTTTGGTTTTAATCAATATTTCCAGCGTCTCATTTTGAATATACAATTTTTTTATAAAGTCTTCACTGCATATATTCATGTGTATACTTAAGAAAATGTATCTGAACATATATCTTTTCAAGTCAAATCCTATGCTGGCTTATCAAAGAAAATTTGGACGTTTTTTATAAGCCCCCTAAATTATTTGGGACCCGATTGTGGTACAATATTTTTCTGAGTGAACTCTTTAAAGGACGGGAATGGGGCATTCAAGAGGCGGTTGTTTTGTGTGTTTGGCATTTGGTTGCCTTTGTCGGGCGGTCGTTTCTTTTGATGCCGCCCCAGTGGATTCGATTTCTCTCTGGTTTCTCTGATGCTCCTCTATTCCTGTTGCCGTGCAGCTCGAATTCGAGCCGGGTTTATTGGTTTTTGTTTTCCAAAAGCATATTCGCCGCTGGCCACCATTTTTGCCAATTTAAATTCCGAGCAGGAACGAACTGTTCAAATCCCCAGAACAGCTTGGGGTTTTTAAGGTGCAAATGAAATGGGAATTTAGCTTTTAAGAGGCGATTATGAAACAATAGACTTTTCAATTACAAAAGGAGAACATTTTATGGCACTTTAAAAAGGGAGCTTAAACTAGAACATTTTAAAGATCTACTGCTTTCCTCGCCCGCTCAGATACAATACTTTTTTGAAAGTTAATATTTAAAACTATATTTTTCCGAGCCACCCTATTGTCAGACACCTATTTGGTAAGTCTTTGTACATTTTTACTAATTTATTGCACTTGGTATTGGCAACTTCAAGTTGCAATTGCAAACAGTTTTATCCGAGCTATCCTTTAATTAAAAACTTTCCCATGATATATGTCCTGCAATCGATTATCCCCTTACCACCACCCCTTCTCAGTACCATCCAGCTGCACTCTCAAAGCCGCTTGTCAAAGTTAATTTCGTAATTAATTTTCAATGCTTTGAGGCGAGGCTTTTATGGCAACTAGGCAACCATAATTCAATAAATCAAATGCTGCTGCAGCAAAATAAATGGTAGGGAGCAAAAACACAACAAATTAATGAATTTATGAACAAGACAAAGTTTTCCCCTGGCATTTGCTCTTTCGCTTTTTGCAAAAACATTCCGATGCGAAACAGACCAAACTGACAGTTTTGCCTCCACACATCACCGAGCAAAGAAATGAAATAAAACAAAACCAAACCCTAGAAGACCAAGAGTTCACTACAGTAGTTTTAAAAAAAAGGGGGCAGCAGCCTCAGCGGGGAGTTGTTGGGTATAACACACAGAAAAACATTTAAATGTAATAATACGATTATATTTATTATATGATTTTATTTAAATGCTTAGAACCATCGCATTGGTACTTTTTTACTTGCATTGTTCTTCAAATAATATTGAATATTTATTTTTTCACATACGAAAAGACCAAAATCAAGTTATTCGTAATATCGTAATACCGTATATATCATCATTTAAGATCACATTTTCTTTCTGTGTAAGGCCCAGTGCTTGCAAATTGCAGGCCAGTTGGGCTGTAGGATCCCGAGCCAGGAGCAAAACTTCGCTTTGTGCAAAATAAATTTGCCAAAACCAGAGAAAGCTGAGAGCTTTCTATTCGATTTCTGTGTGTGTGTGTGAGAAGTCGTGTGTGTGAGAGTGTATCTGTGTGAGTGCATCTCCCTTTTCCTATACGTGTGGATAATATATGCTATAGCCAAAAATGCCATTCGCATACAAACAGGGCGTGGAATCAACATTTTTTCCCAGCCGCATGAAAAAGTATCCAAGTGGTTTGTTAACTTCAATACCCGCTGTGGATTTATCCGTAATACCCAGCTCCATGTTAATGGTAATGTACAAGAATCCAACAAAAAACAAAAAACAAAAACGAACTGTAAAACCAAAAAATAGCCAAAATAAAATAAGGCATGCAAGATCGAATGCAGAATTACCCTTTGTTAAGTAAATAATTTTAATGAATTGGAGGAATATTCAAAATTAGAAAATGTAAAAATTATAGAGACGACAATAAATATGGATTTTTATTAGATTATTTGAAAAGCTAACTACTTTAAAATAAATTTGATTTAATGAATATAAAAAGTAGTTTAATTCAAATTTTAATTTTCTTGTTTTAAAAATACCCTCAACCATTAAGGAAAGTCATTGTTTAAATGTTTAAAAATTAGTCAAAAATATTTGTTTATATTTTGCGATTTAAATATTGGCTTAAATTAGCCTACAGCAGTTTAAGGACCTTTTAAAAGGATTTTAACTAAGCTGTTCGAATTCAAGGATCAACATAATTTAGCTTCTCTATTAACACATTGTGTGGCCAAATATTTGTAGCCAATCGATGTGACCCCTCGACAAAGGGTAATTCGGCACACAAACATATGTAACTGCGACTGCATGGCATGTCCTGGGTCCTTCTGGCATCGCTTGTCCTGGGATGCAAGCGCCCAAAAGCATGCAGCACTGAATGCGAATAAACAGAGGCCACGGCAGCAGCAAAAGCAACTGAGGCAGCAGCATCCTTTGCCAAGATATTGCACTAATGCACTGCTAGAAATTGTGGCATTAAAAATATATTATTTTTAATTTATTAATTTAAGTGGCCTTTATTATTTTATCATTTAAAGCCATCCCGAAATAATAGGTAGCTTAATTCATTGACCTTTTAAAGTACTTAGGATAGCATTACTATAATTTTTTTCCTCTGTAGTGATGCTGGAAAATGCAATGGCGTATACAGCATTTGTTGGTTGCTTTTTTTGATGGGTGGTTGGTGGAAAATAGCTGGTTGGCTGTAGAACGTGGTGGTTCTGGCGTCGCAGTTTGCCAAGCCATCCGGGCATTAAGTTATTTCGTTGAATTAAAGCCCGCACTTGCGCCATTTGACTTTTGGGCATCACTTGTTTTTATGTGCATAACCCACAAAACCAAGCACCTACCATTTCGACCCCCTTAACCCCCCCCTAAAGTTGAGTTCTCCTTGCTGAACGCTTAGCTGAGTTTTAGTTTAATTTTGCACACTCGTCGAGCAATTTGAGCTTGAGCTCCTCCTTTCACCTCACATACCATTTGTCGTTTGTTGTTTTTTCTCTGGTCCCTACTTTAAAGTTTTCCATTTTTAGATATGGGGGCAGCTGGAAAAATGTCCCTTTTTCTATTGTTCTATGGTTTTTTCATGCGCTCTGATTTTGTTTACGTTTTACGCCAAATGATTTGTTGTTGAACTTAATACAAGTTGACAAAACGGAATAACAATGGCAGCTGTTGCAAAAAAGCAACAATGTTTGTTTTTTCCCAAGGGTGGGGGTGGTGTTTTTTAAGGGGGTGGCAGGTGATTGGGTGTGGGGGAGTGCAAAAGAACAACAATGCCATAGAACAAACAAACAAGCCGAAGCAAAGAAAAAGGCATCGTCTGTTAGAATGTAGCAAATGATTTCAAACTTTTCAATAGACCGTGGTAAATACAATAGTTTTGGAAAAATTTAAAACCCATTAATTTATAAATTTGCATAAATAAATAACCATAATAATAGTATATTAAAGCCGAAAAGATAATTAGATACTATTAAAACATTGGCTTAAGATGAATTATTATTTTGCAAAATCTGAACTGCTTTTTGAATCTACTGAAAAAATTCATTCAAGAATCTATAAAGATACTCGTAAATTTCTGTGAAAATCTACTCAAAACTTTGTATAACTAAGTCTTTATAAGAAATACCTATATTTAAATTAAAAATCCTAAATGTTCCTAATTTTTCTTACCACGGTTCTTGGCAAGAGAAGCATATATAAGACGAATCCCAATCGAATACTCAATATTTTAGCATTGCCAACTCACGTCTTTTGTATGTGTTTTTTTTTGCACATACATACGTACGTGTGTATGTTTCCACTTCCTTCGACGATTTCCGGTTTGCTTTCTCTTCTTCTTCTTCACCTATTGCTTTGTAGCTAGAAAAATTCCCATTTTCCTTCACAAACAAACACACATATACGAGACTTTTATTCCACTTTTTTGTGCTAGCATTATTTTTATTTCTTTTTCCATGAAAGCGATTTATCGATGTGTGAGAGAAAGGAAGGCACCAAAAAAATAGAAATATTTATGGGAATGATCGCAGAATGAATGCCACGTAATTCGATGCTGCTGGCAACATTTGTCATTGTTGATTTTGGCCAGAGACGACTTTATAGAGCGCCATATACGTAGCTTGTCCGTCGAGGCCAATAACTTCTTCAGCATAACGCACAAAAAGTGAGCGCGAAATTGCGCGTAAGTAATGCCCATTGTAAGGGTCTTCAAAGGACAGTGGCGGGGATTGAAGAAGCAAAAAGGGGGGCTTAAAAATGTATATATGGAAAGACCAACTTGAAGCCAAACAAAGGAATGGAAACAAAGGCAGCGCAAAATGAACTGAACAGGAGCATTATAGAAATTCTTGTCCCTTTTACGCTAGATACACTCAAACAGAATGTCTAATACTAAATTATATTCTCATTCCACTACCTTATTATAAGCATATTTCCAGTTCTAAAAGAATTGTTTAAGTACAAACTAGAATAAAAAAATCAGAGTTGTAATATTTATAAAACCATCTTAAAAGTATTGCTTCAACACGAATACCCAAAACTTTTAACACATTTTCTAAAGGATTAAAATTAACAAGTGGGGCAATATCGAACAAATTTTGGAATAAGACATCAGATTTAAATAATTAAAAGGGTAAAAACTTTTTGTTTTAAAAAAATGTACGCCTCGATGTTTTCATAAACTTTTTGTCGGTGCATTCTTTTATTTTCCCCCTGTTTTCCTTTGAGTTTTCCTCTCGCTCTTCGCCACACATGGCACTTAAGATGTGCATTTCTATACGGAGGTGCACTTGTTTGTGTGCCTGAGTTTGTTGGAAAACTTTTGTGCATTCAACTGCAAGGCCGGTGCATTTTCCGGCCATCCCACTCGTCAGCCACCCCCAAACAGTTTTTTAATAAAAACCCAAACAACGAGCAAACTACGTTCGATGCATGGCGAATTATCCAAAAAGTTTGATGACGCGGAAATGCCTTTCGACAATAAACCAACAAAAAATAAAAAAAGGGGGAAAAACACCAAACAGTTCCGTTGCAACTGCTGCAGTTTATTCGTTTATTCGTGCATATGCGAAGCGAACTCAGCCGGAATGCTTATGGAATCGAGAATTGAGTGGGGGAAAAATGAAAACATCATTTGAAATTCGAATGGGGGAGCCAAGGACCATAAAAATGGCATATTCCGCTGAAGAGAGCCCTAGGGAATAATTAGGGAATAGTTTAAAGGGGTGAAATCAAGTTGAAAGTCGTCATTGTAAAGAGTCTTTAATATATTTAGATTTTAAAGCTCCAATTGGCTTAATGCCAAAGCCAATCTATAGATTACCATAATCTTTAATATATTTAGATTTTGAAGCTCTAATTGGCTTAATGCCAAGGCGAAAACTGGCTCAAATCTCTAGATCCATATAATCCCATATAATTAGTTAGCTTTTCATATTCAGAGATTTCTAAATGGGAAGCATAATTCACAGCGCAAACACGTCCATTATGTGGGGTATCCATATAAGCACAATCCACTTGGAATCATCGAACTACAACTCCATTAAATATAATTTATCGGCCACTTAAATTTCATGTTCAAACTCAAATTCGCATGCATGTTGATTATACTTGCCCGGAAGTGCATGAAAATCCATTGAGGGCGTAACAGGGAAAAACTAAATGCAAGTTGAGTGAGTAAATTGTAAATAGCACTTTACACTGCACAACACAACACGATGTGGGCCACAATTCGGGATGGTTTTTATTCGCTCCATTTTTTTTTTTTTTAGTTCTGAATCGGTTGGTTAATTTTTATGCTCGTTATGGAATTGGTTTTTGCATGCATTTTACCTTTTTAATTGCTAATTGCATGTGTGCGAATAATAAAACGAGTGGATGGAAGTGTGTGGTTGTGTACTCACTTCAATTGCAGAAAATGCAGTACAACTTTAATGGAAATATCTATTGGATTTATTTTAATATCAATAGAAAATAGAATACAAATTATTAATTCATTTGCTTTAAAGTTCTACTGTATTTAGCATGGCATTCTTGTGGTACTTACCCTATTTATTTAGCATTGGGCATGGCATAAGAGTATCTGTTTTACAAAACAATTAATCATTTACCTTTTTTCTTATTTTTATTTTTTTCCTATTTCCCAGGATCAGGAGGGTCGAAAGGTCATTCCTGAGGAGACGGAGTTGCATGCCTCGAAGACCACTGTGAATTTGGGGGAGGAGAAGGCGGAATCTCCACAACAGCAACAACAACCACAACAGCAAGCAAATGGAAATGGGAAAAGTCCGCCGCAGCAGCAGGATGATGAAAAATCCGATGCCACTTGATGGACTGCCAGCCCAATTCTCTGACCTGCCACACGTGGCGTATGAGTGATATTAATAAACCAAATGCGAGGGGAATTGAAGAGAATAATAAAATTGATAAACGAAAACTATTGTTTAGTTGTACATGTGTGTGTTATGTTATATAAATGTATATGTCTATTGTATAAATTATGCAAAAAAAGGAAAAACTGAATAAACCAAAATGTTGTTGAAAACACAAACGAATAATTGTTTTCCCATTTCGAAATTGAATTTAAGGCCTTTCATGGTTCGCTGGATTTTCCACTTTATTTTGCTGATTGGCTTAAAAACTAAATTGTAATTGCCCAAAACGCCAAGTGTTTTGCCATAGGTTAAGTTGCTATTGTTTTAATTTCATTTCATTACATTACTTTCATTTGCTTTGCTCTCTTTGTGTCTGTATTTTTCTCCTTAGGCTAAGGCTTCTCATTAATTTAATTTTATTGGTTTTTCATTTGTATGTTTTTTTTCCCATTTTCGTTTGCCTCAGTTTATCGTTATTAATTACTTAATATAGCGTTTTAATTACAATCTCATTTTTCTCTGCATATCAAATTGCACGAAAATCTATTATTGATGCAAAAATGAATGCATCAAGTCTCAATTTATTTCACTTATTTGCCTTATGGTTTTTTGTTTTCATTCGGTTTTTATTTGATTTAAATCGCAATTGAGCTCTACTTTGTGCCGACCTCTATTGCATTTCGATCAGCATTTATGTTTACATATCAACAGCAATATGCTAAATGTGGCCAGCACCCGGACACACACACCACACACTCATTTATGGAAATAATTTCAAAATAAATATTATTTATGCACAAAAAACATATTAACTTTTGTGGCTACAATTTTAATTTATGCTAATTATTTTTCACTAACAACTTTCGACTGCGGTCAAACATTCGGGGCCAGCAGCGGCAATAATCTCTGATATCTGCCCTGACCGAATTCAATTTAAATCACCCTCTCCATTTCCCCCACAATTTATTGGTAAGGCAAAATTAATTAAAACTAAACTGAACTAAACCGAATTTTCCTGACATTAGTTGATATAATTCCAATATTTGCGACACATTCATGAGAAAATTGATTTCATCGGAACTGAAAACGCAAACACAATAGAATCCCCTTTCGCTATATTATTATTTAACTAATTGCAAACATTCGCAAATGAAAATGCGGTGAAAACGTTCTATATTAAATGCTATCAAATTGTATTTTCTGCTGCTCATTATAGTGCCATATTTTCGGACTGGCAAACATAATTAGATGAACTCTCTTTGATGTTTCGGGTGGAAAAGTTTTGAATATGCCAAGGCAACTCTTACTAATTAAAATTACAGAGAAACCTTTTTGCCCTTGGCCAGGCAAATCATTTAATCTCCTTGAAATGTCCATATGCAAATGAGCCACCTATAAACTTGAAATTCAGACCGGGCATTTGCATAACAAATTTCCTGAAGATTTTATGGTCACAATTAGCCGAGATAGTCTGCCATATCTGCTCTTTCCAGCCATAAAACGATTCCACATGAGGAGGCCAACGTGAGTTTATGTCTTCTCGGACAAATGTGCAAAATTCATACAATAAACTTAGGCAGTCAGGACAGCATATTAAACATTTACATAACTCTAGATGATCTCCCTCTTCCAACGTCACATTTAAAAATTAAACATTATCCCTCGTTTGTGTCAGTGTGGTCTTGTGTGTGCTAAGCCAAAATAAACCTTGATAAACAAGTTTGCTAAGCCTATTTATGCCAAGAGATACATGTATTAATCATACATGTTTGTGTTTGTGTTTGCATTAGCCCAGAATCATAATCATAAAGTTAATACACACACGTCTTTAGTTTATTATTATCGAATACTGTTCAATATTTGGAATATTCAACGAGTAGCATCAAAGATAATTACACAATCCCACGAACCCAACCCAATTGTTTTCTGCCGCTTAACCCACACACTCCTGTTTGTGTGGGGTGAATTTGACTAGCCAACCGCCTGTGCCGCTGCTATCCAAGTCTCACTGTATCAACGGCGAGTGCTGTGAGTTCTCGCTAAAGTCCACCGTGTAGTACATATCGTTCTCGAGATTCATGGCCAGATGCCGCTGAAAAGGTCGCTCCTGCAGCTGGCCACCCAGCGTGGCTTGCGTCGGCAGATGTCGAGTACCCGGCTGCGCTCCGCCTCCTGTGCCACCGACGGAGCCGACCCTCGGTCCACCCGGGGGCGCCACATTATTGGCACTGCTGGTCGCAGTCGTCGCGGTGGCCCCTTTGCCACTCAGCCAATGTTTGTTGAGTTTGCCCTGCATTTTCGGCCGGCGACTGAAGCCCAATATGGGTATAAACGATGTGGAACGTGTCGAGAATTTCCGATACGTCTGATTGACCTTGCAGTGACAAATGGTGACCTGCAACGGAGAGAAATGGGCACGAGGGGTTAAGTAAATGGTTATGGATTGCTTCGTAATGGTAATGCACAGAGCACAGAGTGGTAGTTTGCCAAAAAAAAAAGGTTATTCGTTCAAAAGTACTTGGCTAAGGTCCAGATCAAGATGGTTTAAAATGGAATTTCAACTTTAGAAACTCACTATCGAAAAACGAAATCTAAGGCATATGCGGTCCCTCGATTTAAGTATATATTCTAAAAAATATAAAATAATTATTCTAGCACCCCCCACAAGTTATCCCAAAGAAATGGCCAAACTTTGGCCTCTAAATAAACCAACTTAAACTTTCAACATTAACCTGTCCAATACAGGACTTTATAAGTTTGCATTAATTTAGCAAGAGAGCCATACTGAATTGCTCTTGGCCACCAATAAATTGGCATGGATTCGGCTCTACACTTGAAGGAGCACACATTGTGAACGGACACCAATTGTATAAATTTGCATCTACTTTAAGCATCGGGTTGCAGGCGATTGGGGAACTTTTGGTTAAAGCCTCGGCTGCAGCTCGAACCATTTTGCCGACATCGAAATGAATATGCAATGGCATTCCGCGCACTTTGCATAACCGCAGAGTACAATTTCCCCCGTTCGGGGACTGGGACCTTGTACGGGTAGTCCGGGATTTTCGGGGAATTCAGAAGGAGGATGAGGATCGGGGACCGGGGACCGGGGAAACTTACCACAACGGCAACGATGAAAATGGCGGCTGCCAGGACTCCGGCCGCAAAATATGCATTATGCAATTCAATGGGACTCTTAAGCACAACCGATGAACCGAAAGTTTTGTCATTAAAATTTCTGGCGTTCGCATCGTCCACAATAAATTCGCTGGAACTAACGACCGTCTCCACCACAAACTCATCTGCAAAAAGGCCGGAAAAGAAAGGAGTGTGGGTTGAAAAAAAGTTAGATAGCCGCCAAGGGGAACATATTTCCTACTGGCCACGCTGATGGCCCTAATCAAGCTAATGACTTTTCGGGGAAGTCCGCAGAGCTGCGGGCCAACTCACCTTCGCACATGGTTCCGGTGTATCCGGGACGACAGGCGCAGTAGAAGCTATCGCCACTGGACCAACAAGTGCCGCCATGGGTGCAGGGATTCACGTTGCACTGCTGGAAGTACTGAAAGTTATCAATGCATTGGTGGTGGATTGAGTGGTAGAGTGCGTGGGCAATTCCCCATAGCAAGTACACTCCAAAAATATTCAAGCTCTATTTCAAGAAGCTCTTCAAATTTTAATATTTACATTCCAAGATGTATTTAAATACCTCTTATTTTTGAAAAATATTTCGTTACATATTATAACTTTGTTTTTTTATGGTATATAAGCAAGGATTAAGGATCTTCTAATTTTTTTCTAGTTCGAAAAGCAAGAAAACAATGTTCTCTGATAAACAATATGATTTTCCTTCACAATTTTCAATGCATTGTTATGGCAAAACACTTTTATGATGCCCAAATTGAGAACAACAATTTTTGTATTATATCTCTGCCCTAACGGAGTCTGGTATCATCTAACCACACCCAACTAACAATTAGAATGGAGGGGCTGCCGTTCCGCCATTCTTCCACTTTCTGTGTGTGTGCCTGGCATGTAGAATGTAATTAATTTTGCTGCCTTCCCCAACAGGAGCCACGAGCCACTGGCAGCCGCAATTTCGAGCCGTGGTCTGCCCCTGCCACGCCCCTCTATGCCAACGCCCCCTTACCCAACCCCCCTCCCCCCCTCTATAATGACAGTGTTCTGCGGATCCTTGGGTCCTTGGAGCAGTCGCGGTTAGTCAGCGTGTCCATCATTTTCACAAAGCTTTAATTATGGCGCCTTGACGCTTAATTTATGTACATTTTGTTAAGTTTTATTTTAGCACCGCAAATTATCAAGTCCATTGAGCGTTTATTAAATTCCTCCCCCCCCCCCCCCAAGCGGGGCTAACTCAATTTATAAAGCAAGTTGGCTTGAATGGAAATTGATTTGCATGTCCAAACAACCGGAAAACTTCTACATGGAATATCAATTTCAATGCAGAGACTATTCATTAGAGGCCGACGTAGTCGAAGTCGTAAATCAGTTTAAAAATGCACAGCAGCCGCACAAAACAATTGTGTGTATGCAATTGTGCAGGGAAAATTGGCTAGAATTATGCTACTGCGAACAATTTGTGGCTGGAATATGTTGGAATTTTTGCAGGACTAGGACTGCCAAAAAGGAACCACCCATTTCTACCATTTCCGAATAGCCAAAACCAAAGCAAAATTGCATAAATCATGACTTACCGTTCGTGGCATTTGATTACAATCCGGTCCGTTGCGACCTCCTGGGCATTCGCAGCTGAAATCATTTCCATGATCAATACAGCGATGTCCTTCGGGGCAAGGCTTGTTGGCGCAGAAATCGACCTAGAAAACACACACAACAGAAAAGCGGGCACAAATCAAAGCATATTGTGGCAGCAGAGTTGGAATAGAAACGAAACGAAACGAAACAGTACGGAGCGGATCTGCAACTTCATTACGTATTCAAAAATGTATTTGCCCAGAATTCGTATCTGAAGGATACACTGCTCCCACACACACTCACACACACACATCCAATCCCATTTCCTATGCCTTTGTGTGTGTGTGAGCGCGAGAGCCTGGGCAAATTAAATCAATATCCATTCAAGTCCCACAGACAACTGCCTTCTGGCTGGCTGCGGAGTCCTTCCACTTTCTCATCGGGGAATTGTCGCGGGATTTGT